GCACTAAGGACCCCTCGGGGGATGTCCGACTGCCGGCTTAGTCCCACTCCCCGTAAGCCTATTCAGGTTTCATATGCTTGCAGTGGCCATGCCCATCCGGGCCACTAATTTGTTCCCAGGTTTGACTGGCAGACAGGTAGGTACCTTCCCACCTCACTTAAGCCGGCAGTTGGAAATCCCCCGAGGGGTCCCGGACTATGAGAGGGTGCAGGCCTGGTTGACAGACCACCCCTCCCATGCGCCCCCCTCCCCCCCCTCCCCAGTGCATGAATGTCATGCGCTGGGCCTCTAGTTAATAATAAAAGCAGCATACGGTAGTAAGACATTTTCAAAGGTGTTTTTGCACATTTTTTTTTCATTCTATACTTTGAGGGACAAATATTGTCACTTTATCTGTGAGTACACTGTGGCCAGGGATGGTGAGTGTCTTGCTTCAGATCACAGCTCATGAAAGGGAGCACCTGGACTTTAACCAGTTTCCTGAATCCAAAAACTATGCTCTTTCCAAACCACAGAGCTTCTACTTCTGGAGTCCTCTTTCCTCCTCTCGCATTAGGCCCATTTACAGTGATGGTTGTTAGCGCAGATAGAACATGTCTTTCTTTCTGTCTGAAATTTTATAGTTTTAAAATCTATACTTGAGGAATATATATACGAATGATATCAGTCATCTCAACTTCATAGTGAGATGATTGATCATAGATCCTTAATCGTTATTTTATAGATCCTTACACATATATCTTCTTACACCAATTAGGTTTGTAAGCTCAGTTCTAAAGATACTTAGCTATTTTGTCTTCAATTTAAAATAAAGTATGAGAGAAGGCTCCTTGTTATGATCTTAATAGCTAGTGTGATTAGCAGTGTTTCAACTTACAGGTTACCCCTAAAAAACCTAGTAATATAACTGCTAAACAGCCCTGGCCAGTGTGGCTTGATTGGAGCATCGTCCCATACACCAAAAGGTGGCGGGTTCTGTTCCCAGTCAAGGCACATAACCAGGTTGTAGGTTCTATCCCCAGTTGGGGTGTGTGCAGGAGGCAACCAATTGATGTTTCTCTCTCACATAAATGTTTCTCTCTATCCCTCTCCTTTCCTCTCTCTAAAAATCAATAAAAAAAAATTTTTTTAAACCCTGCCAAATAGAAATATTGACACATCTAGAAGTCAATTTTTAGTGCTGAACATCATTAAAGAATGCTGTGTAATGTAAAAACAGAATGCAAAGTCCAGTACTGTATGATTCTACTTATATGCGGTATGTAGAGTAGTAAAATTCATAGAGACAGAAAAAAGAATGATGGTTGCCAGGGGCTAAAGGGGTATGGAGAGTTATTTAATGGGTACAAGTTTTATTTTGGAAAGATGAAAAAAAAGTTCTGGAGATAAACAGTGGTGGTGGCTGCACAATGTCAATATACATAATGCCAGTGAACTGTACATCTACTGTGTGAATATAAAGACACTGGAAGAGTTAAGCACTAGATAACAGGTCCACATTGGTGCACTGCTTACTGGGAGTCGCCGTTCTGATTTCCAGTGATCACCTACACCCTTCCCAGGACTTCAGGTTGGAAGCCCTCGGCTCTTTCACTCTCACTTTCTTGACTGACACCCCCTTTCTGTCTGCTTCCCAGCCCTGAATAATTTGTGGCTCAAGCTTGTGGATTTCTAATAAAGTCCTGTGTTTTTCTCTGCATCTGAGAGATTTTTCAGATTATGGTCCACATGCACCAGAGCCTTGGTGCTTTTCAGAGATGTATGTTTCCAGACCCTCCTACAACTGCGTAGTCAGTCTGTGGGGTTGCACCAGGGAGCTGGCATTCGTAACAAGTTCCCCAGTTGCTCCTTATGCCAGTGAAGTTGGGGAACCCCTGCACCATTGGATTGAGGGAGAAGAGCACATGCTGTCCTCCCTGGCGTCCAGCTCAGTTTTCTGACAGAGCAGGCACAGAGGGAACTCAGCCAGGTCTCCAGTTTTCCCCTTGACTCAAAGGAATGTCTGTCTCTAATGACAGAGGCATTTCTACTTCCCAGTAGAGCTGGCCATTAGTCATTGTAGTTCATGCTCATTTTATACAGTGAGCCCTTGGGCAACAGTGGGTTCAGCAGTTTGCTCCTGAAATAATTGTGCTTAAAGTTAAAAATACCTGTTTAATTCTAGAAACTCTTGCCCCCCACCCCAGAATTTTATCATGAATATTTTCACATATTCATAAACACTGAACAGTTAGTTATACAGGGAAGACCCATATACCCATCATTTAAATTCTACAGTGCTATATTTTCTTTATCATATATCTATCCACCTGAAACATTTACTTTTTAAAATATATTATTTTTATTGATTTCAGAGAGGAAGGGAGAGGGAGAGATAGAAACATCAATGATGAGAGAGAATCATGGATCGGCTGCCTCCTGCACGCCCCCACTGGGGATTGAGCCCTCAACTCAGGCATGTGCCCCTAACTGGAATCAAACCCGGGACCCTTCAGTCCACAGGCCGATGCTCTATCCACTGAGCCAAACCAGCTAGGGCAAACTTTTATGTTTAAAAAAATTTTTTTATTGTGGTAAAATACACATAACAAAAATTTTCATTGTAATCATTTTTACTGTATATAGTAATCAGAATATATTCTCTGTGTTGGATATTTATATTACTTTCAAAAATTTTGATACTATATATAATGGTTTAGTTAGTATCTTTGTATATAAATCTTTGTGCACATCTCAGATAATATCTTTGGGATAAGATTGAAGGTCTGGTCTCTATTCTTAGACCTTTGTTGGTACCTGTCTATCTGTGTTATTTAAGTCCATAAGCTGAATGTTTTTTCTTACCTGCTTTTTTGCCAACAGGTTGGTCAAAGTCACTCTGTATGGATCTCAGATAAAACTGTACAACATTGAAACTGCTGTGCCATCAGTATTGAAACCTGATCTCATTGATGTGTAAGTACAGAGTTAGATGTTTGTATTCTCAGGAAATGTCCTCCAGCCCCAAATCATCTAATCTAATAAAAGAGAAACATGCAAATTGACTGTACCTTCGCTTCACCACAAGCCACGCCCACCAGCCAATTAGAGCGACTATATGCAAATTAACCCAACCAAGATGACGGCCGGCAGCCAGGGAGCTGGAGCAAGGAGGAGGCTTGGTTGCCCTGGCGATGGAGGAAGCCAAGCTTCCTGCCTGCCCTGGCTGGCTGTGGCCTCCGCTAAAGGCAACAAAGTTTCAATTATAGAAGATAAATAAATCCCAGATATCTGCTTCCAGCCAGCCTCCCCTGGGAGCTTGGGTGGCTGGGGGCCGTGGCCAGCCTGCACACAGCCATCAGCCACTCACCCAGGCTGGCCAGGCACCCCAGGGGACCCCCACCTTGAAGGGGCTGCGGTCAGCCTGCAAACAGCCATCAGCCCCTCACCCAGGCTGGCCAGGCACCCCAAAGGGGTCCCCCATCCTGAAGGAGCTATAGCCAGCCTGCAAACAGCCATTAGCTCCTCACCCAGGCTGGCCAGGCACCCCAGGGGACCCCCACCTTGAAGGGGCTGCGGTCAGCCTGCAAACAGCCATCAGCCCCTCACCCAGGCTGGCCAGGCACCCCA